GCGTTAACTTGGTTGTAGTTTGTTTAGTTCCATGCTTCGGGTCAGTCCGTCTCAAATAGAGGGCTGGAGAATATTCCATGAGACAATTCGACGCCCTGCTGGTCCATTCTGAGGCTAATTCATGTGACAGAGGAGCGTCTTCCGTCAGTCTCTCCTCTGTAAGAAATTTTAAGATCGCTATTTAAGGGCCTCATCCTTGTTCTCACATGCAGCTTCGCTTGACAGTGTTCTGGCCACCAAGTCGGTAGCTGCGTCAAACATAACTCGCTGCTATTGTAAAGCCTAACCTAAAACTCACATGCAGTTGTTATGGTACATACAGGAGAAACGTTTTGAGTCTTCCTCCATCTCTTCGCAAAGTGCTCCCTGTGTGTCGATGGAATGCCGTCTCTTCGCAGGTGAGAATAGATGTAAGCGTCACATCCGAAATGAGTGGGAAATTTTCGAGGCCTGAAACTGCCTTCGTTCTTGTCGCCGCACTAATTCACGCAATAGACTTCTCCGTTTTGCCAGCGGATATGTGACAATGTGACTCCACCGTAGGCCTACGTGCGTAGTTAATTGAGACGAAATGCTTTGGATGGCTGGCTCAGGGGACCGTATGACAACTAGCACTACGTGACTGACGGATTAAATTTATCTTCGGACCAACCGTCGCATTCACATTTCGGTTCATTATCACAGCATGGCAGTGTTATGCTTTCAATCACAGATTTTGGCTCTCAGAAGCCAGGACCCTGTTGTGTAGAGGTGGCCACTCTGAAAAACGCCACACTTCCAGAGATTAACCGAAAGTCCATCGAAACTATTTGAATTCGATACCCGAATTCACTAGTCTCTCCGGTTTCACGGCATCTAGGTGTGAAGGGCAGAGGAGGGTAAACCTGCGGCAAATCGGTGACATTTTTGGGTATAAAACCCCAAAACCGATCAGTGACGGACACCAATTGTGTTTTATGCACTTTCGGGGAAACAGTATTATTTTTCCAGGATTAAGTCCACAACTACTCTTTGGCATTTCCAACAACGACGCAAAAGACAGGTCTTAACCGCGAGTTCTGGTTTTGAGTTTCAAGTGACTTACCATATCCCTTTAAACAACAACAAAATAATGCCCACCTTCGCATGTTTTGTCCGGAAATTTATCGTCTTTATTGGGCTTGATACTCACAATTTACCTGTGCGGTATGTCCGAACCAGTTTTACAATTGGAAATTTACCGTCTTTATTGGGCTTGATACTCACAGTTTACCTGTGCGGTATGTCCGAACCAATTTTACAATTTCAAAATTATCGACGAATATGATACATGCGTCATTAACTTTACTATACTAGAAGGCGAAGACGCCAGCCTTTCATCCTCCCGGTTAACGTCTGTTTCCTAAATCAAACTTTGGTTCAACAATAAACCAGTCCTACTCAACCAGTGGTAGACTGTGTCCAATGAGCATTTGAAATGTGGATACATGGGTAAGCCACATTTTTCACAATGGATTTGTGAACTCTGGAGTGTGATTAGTCCGACGGTGGAGCACATTGGCTCTTCGGGTCTTCTTGGTTTTTTCTAACTTCCAGTGAATTAGATTTTGCGTCTTCGAAGTTCTCCATTGAAACAGTTGGTTGTGCTTTAGGCACTAGCGTCTCATCGACAAACACAAATGTGATATTGCAGCTTGTGAGTGTCCTCGTTGGACAAATTATCAGCGTTGTTAGGATGCAGTAAATGAACAGGCTTCCCGGCTTATGTTCTTCTAAATGAGTGTTGGAGCAAGTTATTAAAGCAAGCAGATTTCTCGGACAGAATCTGCTAACCAGAATCTGCTAATCCATGAGTCGGTTGGAATCTGTTCTGTAACTGCCTCTGTAGTGTGGGACGTCAGGAAGTCAGCGGTATTCGGCGTTCGAGAGGATGTAGCGACGGCACACGTCGATTCTGAAATGTGCAGATACAGATGCTGGTATTACTGAATCCACACGGCACACACAGCACACATTCGCACAGGTCGGGTGACACAGGAAAGAAGACCGGAAAGTTGCAATAACACACGTGTATTCAGCCGAAACCGGAACCGGAAGTCGGGGGGGGGTATACAAAGATGGGTCGTCGGAGGGGGGTATACAAAGATGGGTCAAGGTCAATCAGGTTGTGTACAATCAGGATATACTTTCCTGTCGGGAGCTCGTCCGTAGTACCTGCAATAGGGAGAGAGAGAGGAATAGGCGCACATCAGGACATATGATTAACGTGCAAGCAGATACAGTCGAGTTTCAACTGCGTCACACCTCCCTCCTCCTACTAGGGCGCGTTTCCTTGAGTACACCGAAAAGGGGCTATGTTTAAGCTGCCTGTACCGCGCTCTTTAGCAAGATTTCTTATCGTCTGAGACAAAAAATTTCTCCGGCTTCATTCCCCATTTTTCGAACAAGACTATGGAATTGATCGCTTCATCTCATGGACTTGCGAAAAACCAATTCACAGGCATTAATTCCCACATGTGTTAATATAGGTCTGAGAGCGGTGCAAGATTGTCCATATTGAGCTTTAGTTGTCGATGACACGCGTTGGACAGGTCCGGGTTCGACTGTAGTTCCCAGTGTTTCAAACTCAAAGCAAGTAACCGATGTATGAAGTTGATCCCAGCTAACCTCTGTAGCACTTTGAAGCGGTCATTACCTTGAGATTTCAAACTTGATCAGACTAGATATCGCACTTTCGGGTGAACTCGGTTTTCTGTGCATGTCACTAGTCACTGATGTACCCCTTTACGGTCATAACGGCACCAAACGGCCTACTCTGTCATAGAGTTGCTGAACGGATAAAAAATCAGCTGAGGGGCCAACCAACAGAATGGGAATCAGCGAATATACACTCATCTGCAAACTAATTTGGTTCTTCCGAGAGACTCACCTGGAACCCAGGTGAATCTCTCGTTTATGATGTTCTCAGGCAACTGAATGTGCTGCACCAGGCCGCCTCATGTTTCAGTCACTACGATA